GCCCAGCTTCAGCCCAGCCTCAGCCCAGCCCCAGCCCAGCTTCAGCCCAGCCCAGCCCAGCCTCTGCCCAGCCTCTGCCCAGCCTCAGCCCAGCCCAGCCCCAGTCAGCCCAGTCCAGCCACAGCCCAGCTCAGCCCAGCCTCTGCCCAGCCCAGCCTCAGCCAGCCCAGCCCCAGCCCAGCCCAGCCCCAGCCCAGCCCAGCCCCAGCCCAGCTCAGCCCAGCCTCTGCCCAGCCCAGCCTCAGCCCAGCCCCAGCAGAGGCCTTACCGGATCTGCAGCCAGCCGGTTAGGAATGGTGGGAGTCTGCTGGTCAGTGCACACCACCTTTTTCATATCTTCAAAGCTGGGGTCATTGGGTACCATGTCATAGAAGGGTGGCCTGTAATCTTCCACAATGCCTGGGGATTCAAGGAGGATAGGGCGATTACTTGGGACTTAAGGAGACCAGAGAGCATCCAGGGGACAACCTTGCCTGGTTTCTGTCCCAAGGGACCTGGGGCTAGCTGCCTGACCATCCTGCTCCCTAGAGGGGTCCTACCCTATGACATCATAACTGTATGCAGCGCACGGAATTACTGTGTATTTTGTGTTTCCCAGGTAGTCTTTGCTTTAATAAGCACATTGCACACTTTCCCATTAGACCTCATGGTAGCTCCGCGCTGTGCGTAGTATACCAAGCCTGTCACGGATGAAGAAACATAGGCTGAGAAGCACCAGACTCAGGGAGCCTAGCCAGTTCTAGCGGACTCAGGACATAAAACCCATCTTGTCGGCGCCCTAGGCTGGATCTCATTTCCACCTTCGGCTCTCTCCCGTCCTGGGCCTGGGTACCACTCCCTGACTGATGACACTAACAGCTGGTGTCCCAGAGCACTTCCTGCGGGTCAGGCGCTCTGCATGCCATCCTCACGGCAGCCTGCGGGGACCGTGACACCGTAGGTCCACTTCACTAACTAGAACAGTGGCTCTAAAGACTGTGACTTGTCTCTAAGGATCGACAGGTGGTAAGTGACAGAGGAGGGACTCAAGGCCGAAATCCAACACCAAATCTGTGCTTCTGGCATCTCAGCTGCATCTATGGTACATCTGGAATTAGGACAAAGGACAGGAAAAAAAAAAAAAAAAACACTTCTCCTAAGAGGAAAAGATTTATTCCCTGGTCTATGTACTATTTACTTACCATCAGGGAAGGCTAGGCTCATGCCTCTGCAGATCATACAGCCAACAGTGTTGTCCCGTCCCGTCCCCCCCCACCACCACCACCACCATGTTATCCTGAGGGTACCTAAATAGGAGCCTTTTTGAAAGGTGTGTCTGTGGGGTCAGAGGCAGTCCCGTGCCTCTTCCTGCTCCCCAACCCCAGGCTGCTTTTGTGACCATGTAGCCACGACTTCAATGAGGCCCTCACCAGCTGTTCTCCCGGTGGCGTGGCGGGCTTCCAGGCCGCCCCTGTGCCGCTGGCGCCCTAATCAGTGATTTGCAGAGGCCCGAGCGTGTCTAATGAGCCTTTAATCAGTGCCGGGGCTGACACCAGATTACAGTGTTTATAATGCACTGGGAGTCTGTGGAGCTGACAGTTTCCCCTCCGCCCCAGGAGCCCAAGGCCGATCCATCAGCCCTTCCTTTCCTGCCTGCAGCCAGGCCCAAGAGTTCTTTGGTTTCATCCAGGTGCCCCTTCCCCAACTCCAGCCTCCCAGGGCTGATTCCAGCGGTTCATGCCCAGGGATTGGAACTCCTGGGAGACCCGAGGAGAGAGTGGTGACACCCGGATCTCTGCTGTCAACAGGGGACCACTGAGGAAGCGTGAGGCTGCAAAAGGCTGGCTCCCGGTAGACGCTCAGGAAACGAGAGGGCTCTAGTCTGGCCTGGGTTGTCCTAAACTTTCAGGACTCTGGCAACCCTGGTCCTAGACAGCCTCCACAAAAGCTATGCATTGCAGCAGTCAACCCGTGGTCATCCACCTACCCTGGGACTGAGAGGCCATCAACCCCAGGGCTGCACAGGGCAGCACAGGACAGGTGTTTCTACCAGCCTTTCCAAGGCAGGGTCTCCCACGGCAATCAGCAGTAGCGATGAGGCCGCCACAGGCAGGCAGAGCAGACACCAGATAGCGTACGTGTGAGCAAAGAAATCAAGGAATCAAGAGTCAACATTTAATTGCCACAGTGACAGAGGGCACTGGCCCAGAATCAGGTGGCTGGCTTAAGACCTAATGCTGCCTCTAGTGAACTGGAAACCTAGACTCTTCTCATAAAACGAAATAATATTATGTAGGTACTTGTACACGGTGACAATATTTAGCTCCAGGCACTGTTTTGGTTTTTTTTTCTTCTTTCACTTTTTTTTTTTCAGGGTCTCTCTGTGTAGCCCTGGTTGATCTGAAACTCTCTTTATATAGACCAGGCTGGCCTTGAACACGGAGCAGTACTTCTGCCTCCTGAGTACTGAGATCACAAGTGTGGGCCACCAAGTCCAGCTTCTAGATATTGTTCTAAATACTTAATTTGGATCAGCTCTGTGGCTACAGTTATGTTTTTAATTCTGATTTCACAAATGAGGAAGCAGGCAGGCACAGAGAGGCTAAAATGCTCACTGTCATAACAAAACCTGAAACCGAATCCAGGCAATCTGACTGACCAATGCCACCTCCTACCAAACAGGAGACTTCAATAAGACGACACCTTCAGAGTAGGTGGTGTGGCACACAGTTAATCTCAATAAACGCTAGCCTAGCTGCTGCCCTGCCCCACCCCACCCCCATGCTCAGTATCGAAACCCATGGCCTTGGACATGCTAGGCAAGCATTCTACCACTGAGCTATATCCCCAGCTCTGAATATTTATGGGTTTTTGTTTGTTTCTAACTCAAGACTTCAAGGTTAGATCCACACCCTCACAGGTTCAGATGAACCTTAAAAGTCCATTTGGGCTGAACTAATTGATACATAGCAGTGAAGGGATGCTGGGAGATCTAATCTCAAACCCTCAGGTCACAAGCACCAGCCCACATAAGGAAGCCCAGTCTCTATCTACACACACACACACACACACACACACACACACACACACCCCACACACACACACTGCATATACTGGGCCCTCACCATTGATGATGGTCCGCCGGGCGATCTCCCACAGCACTAAGCCGAAGGCCCAAACATCTGTCCACTTGTATGACTCAAAGCAGTCAGTCCGGATCTGTTCATCCAGCACCTCGGGTGCCATGTACCTCTTGGTCCCCACTCGGGGGTTGTTGCCAATGTCCAGGTAATCACTCCCCTGGGAGTGCATCACAGCCAGTCCTGTGGGCAGTGGGCTCGTCAGTCCTCCAGGGCTCCCACAGAAGGTGGCCATTCCCACACTGGGAAGTCCAGGCTAGAGGCAGATGCAGAGGGGATGGAAACGGATAGACGCAGGACAGCCGGGCAATGGAGGCCTGCCCTGAGGTGGCCGGAGGGAGACCGTCTGTCCCGTGTACCCTTTGCTTTATAGCATTCTCAGGCAAAGCATGCATTATGATACCCACTTCACACAGTAGAACTTTGAGGTGGGTTGGAAGGAGCTGTGTTCTCAGAGAAGTCAGGGTGAGACACAGGTTCCTACCTCCCTGTCCCTTTTCCGGAAGTCAGGTGAATGGTGGAAGGAGTCTGGGCCGGAAACAATTCGTTTGGAGACAGGGTCTTTCTATGTAGCCCTGGCTGTCCTAGAACTCACTCTGTAGACCAGGCTGGCCTCTAACTCAGAGATTCACCTGCCTCTGCCTCCTGAGTGCCCCGGCTTGGAAACAGGTTTTAAAGTACTAATTCTCTCCCCTACAGAAACGGGCAGAGCGGAGCACACAAGCCCCGCCCACCTGCGAAGCCCCACCCCTTGCCTCCTGCTCACCCAGGTCTGCAATGCAACATTGCAAGTCGCTCTTGACCAGCACATTGCGGCTCTTGAGGTCCCGGTGGGCGATGGCTGGTTTGCCTTGAGTGCCAAAGATCTCCACATGCAGGTGTGCCAGGCCGCAGGCCGCCGACACGGCTAGCCTCAGGGCCAGCTGCGGCTCCAGCGGCTGCCTCTGCAGAAAGTCGTAGAGCGAGCCGTGCTCGTGGAAGTGGGTGATGAGCCACAGCTGCGTGCTTGAGTTGCGCGAGGTCATGTCGGAGGCGATGAAGCCTGGAAGCAGAAGGTGTGAGTCAGCCAAAGCACCGAGGAGGAAGGGGTGGAGAGGGGAACCCAGGCGAGGGCTGAGGGTCTGGGAGTCGCTCAGGGTTAGACCAACGCGCAGAGCTCCGTGTCGTCCAGCCCTGAGCTGAGGGCTTGGAGCACCTAGGCGTGGAATAGCGGATTCTGTGTCCCCTCCTTGCCTAGGATGTTGTCGTGCCTAAGCAGAACTGTGTTGTAGATCTCCGTCTCCCGGAACCAGGACTGTTCATCTCGTGAGGAGAAAATCTTGACGGCCACACTCTCACCATGCCACGAACCACGCCACACCTCGCCATATCGGCCCTTTCCTGATCCAATGGCCAAGGGGAGAGCAAGGGTCACACACTAGATACACACGGTCCTAGAAGCCCCACCCCCCAACTCTGGGTGCTATGAAAACCCCTTCTGCAAAACCTGAATTTTTACTAAACAGGGTCTCACTGTGTGTCGCTGGCCGACTTGGAACTTGCCATCTAGACCAAGCTGGCCTTGAACTCACAGAAATCTTCCTGCCTTTGCCTCCTGAGTGCTGCTGGGATTAAAGGCGTGAGCCCCCATGTCCAGCTGTTAAGAGTTTTTAAAATTACGTTTATTTCTTTGTGTGCGCGCATGTGTGTAGCGCACACTGACTAGGATCACATGTGGAGTGAGAGGACTACTTGAGGGAGACGGTTCTCACCAAGTGTGCACCAGGGGTTGAACTTGGCCCGTCGGGTTTGATAGCATGGGCCTTCACCTTCTGAGCCATAGTGCTCTCCCTGATCCCGAATTCATACGGAACTTAATCCACATCCTGCCCCAGCTTTGGCTACCCTTAGCTTATCACCTCACACTTGTCCTTGCAGAAGGACCTTACCTTGGCCCGTAACCAACCCCCTCCCTGCCCAGCGGAATCCCTTATTCTTGCCCAGGCTAGACCCACTCCCTGCCCAGCAGAATCCCTTATTCTGGCCCAGGCTAGACCCACTCCCTGCCCAGCGGAATCCCTTATTCTGGCCCA